GTTTGGCCGGGCTTTGTGATTGGATGGATCTGATTCTTTATGGACCCCAGGATGGTTGGAAATGCCAAACAGTAATCTGTCAATCACTGGCAGACAGATTCAAACCAGACCGTAATGCAGGAATGAGCTTATGATTGGTGCAAAAGCCTGTGGAAGAGGCCAGTGATGCTGCAGCCGTCTACCAATAATCCATTTGGAGTCAGCCAATCTGCGGAGACCATTCGGAGAACAAAGAAAGTTTCTATATTTTATACACAGGCCGGTTTTCTTTGGGAAATATTGTGTCATGACAAGAAACTTTCAAGTAATTTGAAGTAATGCCTCTGTGTGACTAACTGCAAGCCCTAAATTTAGCATTACTTTGTCAGAGACATGCCATTGCTGATTTGTAATTGTGTTTAATGGTCACATTAGAGCATAGCAGCAGGGCCAGTCTATTCAGTAATTGTAATGATAATATTATCTTCCTGTTATTATGGCAGTCATTTTCTATCTTATGAACGGAGCTCTGCCCCCTAACCTGCACAGTTCTAACAATAAACATATTTTTTCCCCTGTTAAGTCCAGTTTTACTTGAGTAAGAGGCAGAGCAAGAGGTCGGTTTGTTTGTTTGGTTTATCATTGTTCTTAGATATTGCCAGTTAAAAATATTGAGATGTTTTATCTAAGTCATCATTATCAAATCCAATTCTGTTATGTATGTTATATCATATACAAAATGGCAAGAGAGAGCTAAATAGAAATATAATTTGTGATTAGAAGATATTATTTAGAATTTTAATGATATTTTGATAATGTTAACAGCAAAGTCAATGATGAAAAGGCACAGGCAACAACAAAATATAGAGGAATTGTATCGCAATCAAAAGACTAAGAAAAAGCAGCACTTAGTTCAATCATAGAAATAAACTGCATGATATATAGAAAAATAACCTTTAAAATAAATCCTCTTATTTCTTTCTTTTACGTATTTACGATGTCCACTGTTTTCAGTTTACCACAAATATTCTGTTGTGAGTTCTTTATAATTCCTCCTTCATCCTCATTCCTTTTGGGGCACTCCTAGGATTTCATAATATTCCACATTGTGATCACAGAGGCATCCTCCACCAGCACTGGGCCCGAGTACCAGCTCCATGAGTCAGGCATTGTTGAGTTCAACCCCGGTGCCTCACAGGGCTTAAGTCAGTCTTCCCAGTCGGCTTCACTCAGCTCACTCCCGATTCTGTACCAAAGGCCTCCATTTCCTGCTCTGGCGCCATGGCGTGCATCTGACAGTAGCTTTTACAAATCTCTTTCAAGGGGACCCAGTTACGCTGCATGCTTCCCCTAGCACATGAGAAAAATATGCACATACCACTCCACACAGAATGCAGTGTGCTCACAGCTAGAGGAGGCATACCGTGGCACGTTTATAGAAAGCAACAGCAAGTTAAAGCCCAGCATTCAGTGTGGAACTTTTCATGTTGTTCATACCAACTTCAAACTGCATTTTGGTTGTTCTGCCACCACAAACCCCAAGTGTAGCAACGGCAGGTTGAATGATTTGGAAAGCTTTAAAAATGTCTGCGATACGCTAAAAACGTATGTTTTAAAAAAAAAAGGAATCAACACTTTTCTGCAAGCCCCTGCTATCATTGTGGTGTGGGAGCAGTCAATGAGCAAACATGAGAGGACGTTGTTTCTTCTCAACTTTGTGCAAGTTTGTATATATGCATATCTGTTTAAATTCAAAATAGAGCGAATGCTCAAAACTGGGTGCTTTTCGGAGATCAAATGTACTGTTTGTGTGCTCAGAGGTCCAGAAGGTAACACGAGCTCAAAGTTTGAGCGAAGTACTTCTTGACTAATGATGTAAACGCTCAGTCTCCCAATGTCTCCTCTTTCAGCCCTTTCTTCTCTTTGTTGCCCCATACTCAAAGCGTCCGATGCCAAAGTTGCGTAGCAACAGGTACTTTTCAAATGAAAATGTTGCTCGCTGACTGTGGCCCTCTTGTTTTGGAACCTCCAGGACCAAGAAACGTCCCCGCGCCGACAGAGACGTCGGTGAGCAACAGATGCTCCAAAGTGAGAGATGAAAGAGAAAGCACTCGGCGGTTTGCATTTCAACAGCCCTCAATATCCTTTGTCCTGACGTCTCGCTGCTGTCCACCAGCAGAACGAGCAGGGGGAGAGATCCCTAACATTGTTTGGCAGTTCAGACGAGTGCAACTTGGAGAGGTTTTTGATTTCACAATGTGTAAGAAGAAAAATGTCCAGCGTGATTGTGTTTGAACGGTCCCCGGGGGCACGTAGTTGGCTCGGGCCAGAGGCAGGAAGGAGGCCTTGTTAGAGTGAGCAGACAAGCAAGAGTGTGTGCGCGGGATACCTCGCCTGTTGGGTGTTGAGCATGTGACAGACGCACACGTCACCGCGTTGATTGTCGTTGACTTTTATTTTCAAAACAACTGAGGTTAATGCTTTATTAATATTTCTAATATTTATAAGGTTCTCTTCAAGTTAACGTTCATTTTAAGGAGGAAAAAGTATGAATAAGAAGCTTTCATTTCTGCTTCTTGAGGGACAGTCAGTGAGTTCTGTGGCTTTGGTTCAATCTCTGGACTTGCGTCTTTGGCTCAGAGTGGAGTTCCACTGGGTCAGACACAGCATCCCCCAGTGGGCCTACCACAATGTCTGAAACCCCTCATTCTCACTGCCTGTTGGTCTTTGCGAAAGAAAGAAACAAAGCTCCTCACAAAGGAATCGCTTGTTAAAATCAAATATGTCCAATGAGAACATTTACAGCCTAATCCAACACAAACCTACTTTGCTTGGTCGACAATCATTTCTTTTATTCTTTAATCTGAAGCCCACTCGTTTGACATGTAATTACTTGTAATGTCTGAGTGTCTTTCTTTGCTTCTTCTCCCCTTTTATTTCAACTTTTCCCATCAGCCCCTGATCCTGTTGCATGCCCCCCTCCTCAGCAATGTGACCTCACCCCTGTTGTGAGAGTAGCCAGTACTCTGCGAAAGGTCCTGTGATCTACGTTTATGGACCAGAGCACCATTCCCCCAAACCAGGTCGACTGTATATCCCGACCTGCTCCGACAGGCTGGCAAAAAACAGGTCACCGGACCTAAATGTTGCTCCAAATGTTGCCTCATTAACTATGCGCTTGACCGATAGAGGGGGGAAAAAACTGTTCAGTTCCCCGTGCTAACCCAACAAAAGACTGAAGCGACATTAATGGTTACCTCAGCCTCTCAGAGAGCTGTAAAATTAGCACATGGAACGATGAGGTCACTCACACTACGCACAGGATTGACACTTTTTTTACACTTACACACACAAACCCTCTTACTAATAAGGATTACCTCATTTAATCCCAAAGCACTTCTTTTAAATGGCGCGCTCCGTTTTGTGTTGTGGTGGTTTTTGTGCTTATGTTAGAGCATTTGTGACGCTGCTGTTCGGTTCAAGCAGACCTTTTTTGTTTTCTTACAAAGAAAACCAGGTGCAATCTCTAAAATGCCTCACTTAATGAAACAGCTACGTCCACATGTTTTAATGCTCCATGGTTTCCAGACGTTTTTGGGCTCAGCACTTTTTTTGATGGTCTCCAAGTGAGGTTTCAGGTTTAGCTTTATTTGAAATTCTGGTGCTCGCGAATGGCACTCATTGATTTTAGCCGTCGTAAAGTGGACATTGTGAAGATGATTTTTTTTGCTTTATACAATTTTAGAGCCAGGGAGAAGCAGGGAAAGGCTTGTGATGTAACAGAATGAAACCTGAGCTTTCAGATCACTCCCCATGACAACACTGTCATGTGAAAAGTTGGTTGTTGGTGTGGACATTGCCTTAAATAAACCTTCCTCGTCCAAATCAACATCCCTTTAGTTTCTTGTACCTAGCTTTTGTTGCGAATGAGCTATACGCTTCCATGGACCTCAGATATTGTGCACATTCAGCATAGCACTCTGTGGAGTTGATCTACTTAAAGTCAGTCCTCCATGCAGCAACTCTCATTAAAATAACTCATGCCAGCAAAACAGGTGATTGCTATAAAGAGAAAAGAGAAGCGTTTTCAGGCCCTTAGTTCTACAGTTTGCACATGAATGGCCGTTTAGTAATGGACGTTTGGTCAAATAGAATATTAAGACCAGCTTCCTGAGAAAAACTGGTGGTACGGCTGCCGGAAAGGCATTTGAAACCTCTGCCTGACTGCAGGAGGACTTCCTGAAGACCGGCTGTTGTGGCTGTGCTCTGTTCTGTTGCACAGCAAAAACATGACCCATTTGGAACCTCTCCTTGACCCTAACAACAGAAAAAAAGGAATAGTCAGAAATTTGTAAAGGAGCATCAATACTCATCCAATGAATTTTGGAAGTCCTTTTGTTTTAACGGCTTCAGTCACTCAATTCATAGATTTCCGGTCATAACCAACACGATTTCAAAATGCACACAAGCTGATGATGGAAAAAATACTGTTTTACACTATGATGACTGTTTATCCCAAAAATGGAAATAATCTCAAGAGGAACAAGATGAAGGTTTTGCAGTGACCCTGTAAACTCTATCACCCAAAAGATCCAAACTTAAACCATTCTGATGTTGGAAATGTGCAGGTAGTGACAGCAGCTGATTTAAATGCAAATTGGCTGAGAAGAGCTGCCTCAGCCTTAACAAATGTAGATAACACATATATTTCCTCCCCCAGCTTCTGAAGTTGACTAATTGTCTATTTGTAACTTTCTTCCCCGTCATTCTAATATTTAATTTGTTTGAAAGATGCAGCAACTTTCTGGTGCCTTTGTTGCTTTGAGATGATTAAACAACGGATTAAGCTCCTCCTTTAAAAACTGGTTTGGAGTGGACAAACTAAATGTGATGGTAGCATCAAATCTTTGTGTCTTCAGGCTCTCTCAAAGTTTCCATCATGTGTGTCCATAATCTGATAGCTTTTCTTTTTGAGTGCCCCTTTGCTGACAAACCAGTGGTTTTGTATTTGCTGTCTCCAGGCTCTCGGGGACTGCGATTTCCCCGCCGTGTTGAGGCAGCTGCTGCCCCTGATGAAGCCCCGCGGAGGCCAGGACAGCTCGTCCCTGGGGTCGAGGCTCGGGGAGGATGAGTGCGGCCCAGATGAGCTGATCCTCCTGCTGGTCTATCTGTACTCCCTCGCCGACGAGGCCCAGCGCGCGGAGCCGGATACCGAGGAGGAGCTGGAGAAGCTGGAGAGGGACCTGATAGGAGCGCTTACCCTGGTCATCACGCGAGAGACAGAACTCAGCGCCCTGCTCCAGAAACTCACCGGTGAGAACGAGTTTATGTGCTTCCGATTGCTTATTTTCCGTCTATCGGCTGCTAATGGCAGAATTTTTATCAACACCCTCATACCCTATCCTTCTCTTACACTCCTCGTCTCACACTCTGGGACATGCACGCGTACACCCCACCCCTCATTCGCCTGCCAGGCTGCTCCACACACAGCTGAGTGTAGAAATACCTGTGCTACAGAGAAATTACCCTTCAGTTGAACCTCTGCTGTAACAATTAGAATCCTTCTGCTTACAACGCAACTCTACTTTGAGAACAGAGGTTGTATTTATGATTTATGTGTATCGAATATATCGTGGAGTAGAGCTGTTAACTGTGTGGTAGAGCAGATGAAGGCCATCTCCTGAGATGAATGAACCATCTATATCCACACCACAGCCAGCTGCACCTCTCAGAGTAATAGCATCTTTAGCCTTGAGCCCATAACCTCTGCTGCCACATAGTTCATAATTAGTCCTACTTTTAGTTTTGGCCCCCACTGGGCCTCAGCAGATACTCTGAAATAATACACTGAGGTTTCACCTACTATCGCCGATGTTTTCATACCTCAAATAGGATTTAGAAAACCCTACTGAATGCGAAACGCTAATGAAGACCGCTTAACTCTTCTCTCTCTCCCTTTCCCCCTTTCATAGTCTCCTTCTTCCTGTTCGACTTGGCTAAGAGCAGTTTGGAATCAAGGGGCCTCCTGGCAGGCGTAAGCTGTGAGATGTGGCTCATGTTAGAAAACCGACTGCGTTACAAACACTCTTTTTTGGGGGAAACAAAATCCTGCCACAATGTGTCAGGTGTGTTTAAGTCTACGTGTGCCTGCGCGCATGCCTCAGCCAATCCGAAGGTATTCAGCTGTGTGGCTCTTTGAACTTATTGTGGGAGCTTTGTGAGCGTGCGTAGATCTGTCTGTCCGCAATAGAGCTTTCATGGCAGCCGACGAGGTTGGTTGTCTTGGGTTACATGAGGAGGAGGCCGTCCCCTCCCAGCATCCACAGCAAAACATTGATTGTGACATTCTCCCCAATTAAAGGACTCAAATGAAAACCAGATGCCGAACGAGACCTGGTCGTCATGAGAACAGTGTTTTTACAAATTCTTCTTTTCTGTTCCATTTGGCTACAACAAGCCGTCTGAGCTTAGCAAGCACAGATACACACAGTGCATGCACAAGCAGTGAGCAGCAGCAAAAAAACAATAAACAGAAGCCCCCCCCCCCCCCAAAAAAGGAAAAGAAAAAGTAAAAAAGCAATAAGAATGTGAGCTTAGGAAAGTAAGACGGGCTAATGCAACACACCCAGAGACAGCTAATTAGCTCCTTCTGGGAACTAAATTAAAGAGCATCTTCAGGAAATGGCGTTCTTCAGACTGCCTCGCACTGTAGTTTTGTTTAGGCTTTTTTTTCTTGTACACATTTCCTGTCAACCCTGGTGAACCCTCCTTTAGTTTCTAGGTTCAAAAGTCAATTAACCATACTGCTCCATACTCTGTACTGCTTATACAAAATGTTCTTCTTTGAAAGAGAGAGCTCAGTTGTCCAAAAGGGAAGAGGCAAGTGTTAACAATGTGCTGGATTAGACAGATCCTGGAAGAGGTCTCCCAAGCTGCACACTAAATAAACTTGCTGTCCTCTTTACATCAAGCTTACACGCTTGTTAGCTAATCATGGTCAAGCTTTTTTTGGTTTGCTTAGTTCGCTGTCTAACGGTAACACAAATTAGGCAAATAGCTGGGTGGAAGGGCAGTCACAGCTGGTTGGGATATTAGCAGCTGGAGTTCAGCATCCCAATCGGCTTTGAGTTGTGACGGTGCCCAGGCCCATCAAGACAAATATTTAACAATGCTAATCTAACCACCTGAGCCTAATGGGTCCAGTCCCTCAGTGTCGGAATATTATAAGTGCGATATTGTACAATAAAACACAGGAAATCTTTTACATGAAAAATGTGTTTTAGTTTTTGACTTGAACAACATTTTAGCCATGCTGAACGCCAAGCTCATTAGTCCCATTGGCACAGAAATTCTAAAAGGTGAAATGTACTGTAATTATTTCCTGACCCTTGTGGCTAGTGTAGTTTCTTAGAAATAGAAACTGGAAGGCTAATCAAAAAATGTACTCCTCCATGTGTCCACTCATAAAACTACGAAGATTGTTATTCATGGTTTGTTTTTTGTCACTGTGAGAGTGTGTACACTGGAAATCAGTTTAGATATTATCCTATTCAGTGTGTCTTTGCATTGCGTTGTCTTAGTATATGACTTTGATTAAATCCCGAACAGTATTTATCCTAGAAAATGGTTCCGCTTATTGCAGACTGGGAAATGAGCTCTTAAACCTCCACAGCCGACACCACATGTGGGAAGTTTCCACATTGGTTGTGGGCAACACTGCAGAGCCAGAGCAAACGATGGGATTGGACAGGGAACCCAGACTCCACACAAAGCTTTAGTCTGATAGGCTGCTGCCAGACAATCTACACTGTACATGGGTGCGGTGTGTGTGATGTGTGCAAGTTGTAAATAGCTCTGAGCAGTTACTGTTAATCCCTCACTCAGTTGTGGGAAAAACTACATTTATGCTGGTTAGAGGGCAAAAAAAAAAAAAAAAAAAAAAGCCCTCCCCAGACTGCTTTATAGATTTGTTTCCTGTCAGCTTTGGTGAATCTCGGTTTTCTTTGGTAAAGAATCAAATATCCACCCTCTTTTTTCGAAAACATTTTTTCTCCCAAGTTAACCGAGGAAATAAGGCCAAGCCAAATGTTCCAAATTCTCCACCCTTGGACATGGAGCTAGCTTGGACCGGTGGATCATAATTTGTGTACACTTCATGTCAGTGAGTGGGCGTGCAGCCTCAGTAGTGAGAAAGTGAAGTCCAAACCCCACTTGGTGCTGATGCTAGTGATTTACTCAGTGCAATGACAGAAAAAGGAGGGAAAGTCACAAAATGACTTGTAGAGCAAAACAGGAATTTGACTGGAATTGCATTATTTTCCTCTCATGTTCTTTCTGCTCAACCTCAGTCACTCGTTGGGTTTGTTATTCATCCTGTCAGTGGGGTGTGCATGGGGCAAGGGAGAGGGGAGCAGTGGGAGAGCCGGACCTCCCCAAAGCTGGTGTTTGGGTTGGCACGGCAACTTGGGCCAGTCAAAGGACATGAAAGGAATCACACATAACTTTGGCCACCAACTCCATCTGTCTGCTTTTCAAACTTTACTTTTTTTTTTCAATTCAAACTTTCTGTGTTTTTTCTCTGTTTCCATACATCTTTTTTTTTTTTTTTCACTCTCTCATGTCTACCTCCCTGAACTTCCTCTTTTTTCCCCCCTTTCAGAGCTCCCTAAGCGTCTTGCTGGTAGCAAAGGAAGTAGAGCATAAGTGAGTCTAATGATCGCGCCTGATTAAATATATTTCCCCTGTTGCACTTTGTTTATGAAATTAGTCCCAATTATTTTTAATTGGTGGTCTTTCCTTGCTTCCTCTTCAGTTTCACAGACACAAAGTTGCGTATACCCCTGGCTGATATATGTTGGGTGAGCAGCAGACCCCGGGGTGACCGGAGCTGCCCGGTGGCGCTGTTCAGCCTCTTCATCAGATAAGCCGATGACATGGAGTTCAGACTTTAATTAACAGGCTCTTCAGCTCCTCACTTGCGAGCCGTGCAGGCCTGGTTAGCAGACTGGGCCACACACAGTTGTCATCAACCCCCCCCAAAACTCTTGCACCCCACAGGGAGTTCTCTTAAGTCAGCACTAAAGTTCTTTCTCTGTACTGTCCCATCACTGTGTGCTCAAACTTCAGTAATTTAGATCAAAGAGACCCATGGCAACAAAAGCCTATAAAAGTGATCATCTTATCTCTGTAGTGTTCTGTTTGTATCTTGTTCTCCATGTGGACGTTGTCACAGCCTAAGCACAAGCCTCCAGTCAACGGCATTATCTACCTCAGGATTCTTCCCAAAGCAGACAAAAAGGGTCTCAACACAAAAAACCTAAGCGTGCCACAAAGATCCCACAGCACCACCCTTAAAAACACCACAAATCGTAATCTGATCAAGCATCCACGTGAGTGTGCCAGAACAAACCCCATCTATGAAGAGCTGGCCCCCATTTCAAAGGATATTCTGCCAATGAGGGGACTGCACTTTTTTCTTATAAATTCTGCCTGTTCTGGCATTTTATCAATCTTCGCACCAGTTTCTATTAACATTTCATGTGTAGAAGCTCACTTGAAAATGAATGTACACGTTGTGACATTGAGTTGAGTTGGATGTGAACAGAAGCCATTAAGCTAAATGTCACAGGAAAAAAAAAAACAACCAAAAAAAAATAGGGATGCAAATGCGATACCAGAAAGGTTGTGATATTAGTACTTTTAATTGTCATTAGTGTTCAGCCAAATCTTAAAATTCGACAAATGCTATAAATCAAGCTTTTGACCATGACCATAAAAGTTAACCACCAGTGTTGCTGTTGGGGGTTTCTGCTCTGACTCTGCCAGGCAGCTCATAGAGTTTCAGAATGGAAAAGTCAAACAGCTCTTATTGCCACATGTCAACTGTAGGGGGCTCTTATAGAAGCTAAACAGACTTCTGAGAGATTTCAACCCTAAAAAGGATGCTGTTGAGATCCTGTGGGGCGAGGCTTGCTGAGCTACCCACTTCTAATTGAGAATTTGGGGAGCATTTCTTTTCCAGTTTTCTGGTTTCTTTACCATAAATTAGAATAGTTCATACTGTTTTGTCAAAACAACATTCCATTCAATTAAATTCTGGGAGCATCAAAAGTAACAACAAAGAGCTCATAGTTTCAGGAGGAATTACTCAAAACAGATTCAATGAATTAGCGGCTCTAATTATTTTGCAGAAGTGTATTTCTGCTCAGAGGAGCAAATGAAAAACAATCAAAACCATGTAGAAATCTGTAACATGCACGGATTTTTGGTAAAACAAAGCTGAAGTGGATTTCCTCATTTTACTGTAGTGCAGT